TAAAGAAGTAAAGCAAACAATTATCTCTTCTAGTTATGACCTTTGTACTAAGCTGCTGCTTGACATAGGTTGCAGAGCCTTTAAAAATTTTGCACATGGAGGATATGAAACAAAATATATTTTTTTAGGTTTTATATATACATTTGAAGAACTAAAAAATCATATATTACTACATCAATACCATATAATTCAACTATAATTTATCAAGCTTGGTTAAAAAAAAACATTTTGGCTTACCTGAGATATATGAATTTGAAATGTTGTTCCTGGATGTCGAAAATGTGTTTTGTAATGCTTGATGGCTTCATTCCTACGATTAAATCCATTTTTACATTTGTAGCAATGCCAGTGGGCTCCTTTAAACTTTTTTTCACCTTTGATGAGCCCTATTATATCACAGTGGTCACTGCATCTTAGGATTCTTAAACCTGAAAAGTTCAAAACAATATTCCTATGACATAAATCACTCAAACTTAAGAACACAATATTAAAAGTCTAACAAGGTACAATAAGTGTCCCTATTAGCTGAAAATACAGTACATAAAATGTCTGTGCAAAGTTAAACATTTTCATTTGTCCATACAGACCCCACCCAGCACTACCTAAATTTGTAGCTGTAATCACAAACTTTAATTTTCTTAAACTTAAATGTACTTTCTACATGCAAATAGTGACTGTTTCAGTTATTTAAAAATGCTGATATATGACAGAGCAGTGACTGATGACTAGAATAAACAACAATGAATTGTATTCATAGGCACATTTTTAACAGTACAAGAAGTGATGAAGTAATGCAACAACAAAAGAAAGGCACATTATAAACTTTTACTGTTTGCTTCATGATACATGTAACTTTGTGAAGAGTTTGTGGTAAAAGTCAGCATACATTAAACAGTGGACAAGACTATGTATGAAGCTCAGGCTAATCTTGTATCTTTGTTATGCATTATACAAATATTTGATATTTAAACAGAGTTCAGATTTGACTCTTGAAAGATGGTCCACATTACTACCGACACAAAAGAGCAACCAACTTGTTGAGTCAGTAGCCAAAAGTACCATATGAACAGTGTTTTGGAATTATCAACTCTTAATCATGTTTTTCAAATAACAAATAATTGTCAATAAACATGTATAAAATACTGCTGAAGTAGTTTAATTACAATAATTTGTAAATGTATGTTTGCCTGAATACTGGTAAAACTCAAAAATGTGCAAATAAGGTTATGATTGATAGAACTGTACAGTACTGAATCTGATCAAATTTACCTTACAGTTTCTTTTGATAACACCTCAGACACCATACTGTTTAGTATACAGTAGTAAGTTTGTAAACACTAATTATTATTGTAAGTATTGTTGTTTGAATATTTTAAATTGTTTGGCATGACACTGATGTTGACATAGCTTATGGTTGCATATAGTAATTTGATACAGTTGTGAAATGTGTGATAATGACTGTGAATGTTCAATCCCCACTGTATTCATTTTATCACTGTTTTATCCACTAACCACTATGGTGAATTGAGAGTATTTTATTTTCATTAAAATGTAAAATTGATTGCATTGTTTAATCTGAACTGTGTTTTATGGTCCAAAGGTGTAAAAATTATGAACTCTGCTTGGAAAATTAAGTAAATAAAAAAACTGCAATAGCTGTATTAGTAGAAAGATAAATGCCCAGATAGATTATCTAATTTCATGTTATTTCAAATTTGTAATTTATTTTCTCACCTCTTTCATATTAACAGTAAAGGACCTGATTATCCTATTCCAGACTTGAGGTGTGTAACTGATATCCTTAGACTTTTTCCTCAAAGTGGAAATAGTTGATTGCAAAAGGACCCAAGTCAAGAGTATTTGGCCATTGCCAATTGTACTCATTAAATATAACTCAGAAAAAAGTTTCAGGAATGTAAAGATTGTCTTAAGAAATTCCCAGTGCATCAAAAGTTAATACCATGCTGTGGCCATACCTTGAACTTGGTTATCAAGAAAGACCAAAATGCAAGAGATGCACCAAAGCTCTATGATTCAAATTATAGCAACAATGGCTTTAATTGAACCACAAATGTTTAAGACAAGTGATACCCCTTTGGTTATTACTTTTGACATGTGGATATTTAGGGCAAATGACCAGTACCTTACTTCGACTGTTCATTTCAGTGTGTTTTTCTAGGATCAGAGTGAATTTACTTTCACTGAGTTATATATTATCACACTGTAACACCACTGACAAGAATCTTTTGCAGTATTATTTCATGAAATCCTAAGGACAATTATGTTTTAATGAAGAATGAGTTTATTTATTAAATAGTGTATTAATTTCAGATATCCCAGTTCTTTGTAGCAACTCTATACTCTTTTCTTTAACAATATTTCAATGAAGAATTAGTTTGCTGAGTAATAAGTATCTCACTTTTTGGTAACAATCCTGTACTATTTTCTCAACTCTTGTTGGTCATGCAGCACTCCTTACTATTAACAAAAATTGGTTAAAAGTTAGTAGCTTAAAAATCTTCTCAAACGTACATCCAATCCACAGGCTATTTGCTCATAAAAGTGAAATCCCATATTACACGTGTTAACTTCAGAGTCATAAAGTGATAATGTGTATACAAAGAAATCATTAGCAAATGGCATAGCAGAGTAGTGAAAACGTTGCTGATCATTTTGCAAAGTTGAATCTTTTAGGAAATAAATGTAAATCACTGTATTGAAACATTTCAGCTATCAGGAAAACTGTCATAATAAATATGTATGCATACACTGTGGAGCAGTGCTGAAACTCAGTGGCAATACTACAATATGCAAAACTATTTACAACTTCTTCACAGTGCTGCATTTAGAGAAACATGCACCAAAGCACTATAGTTCAAATTGTAGCAACAATGGCTTTAAATAAACCACAAACATCAAGTACCATCAACATTAGTTACACTACTGCAACTTCCACATCTGTATAACAATCACGGAAAAGATAGTCAACTATACAAGAGCTTTTAGCTACTGATACCAAGAATCCTAAGGAGAATTCGAAGCAGGAAAAGGTAACAAAGGTATTAGCAAAATACACAGTTAAGGGTATGCATCCATTGCAAATTGTGGAAGAACCTGACTTTGTAATATTGCGGGAATATCTTGATCCAAAATACCAAGTACTGTCAAGGAAAGAATTAAGTGGGAATTTTATCCCAAAACTGTAGACCAGCATTCAAGTAGTTGTTATGGACCAACTTTCTAAGACAAGTGATGTGATCATTACTTTGATATGTGGACCTTTAGAGCAAATGACCAGTATCTTAGTTTGAGTGTTCATTTCATAAGCCAACACATGGTTTTGAAAAGCTATATTCTTAAAAACCATGAGCTTCTACCACTTCACACTGCTGAAGTTATAATTCAAGCTGTTACTCAGTGTCTAGAAAGTTGGAATATCTTGAATGAGGTTGAAGTAATTGTGTCAGACAATGCTTCCAACTGTGTGAAAGTTATTAGTAACATGTATTAAAAGTTAATACTATGCTGTGGCCATATCTTGAACTTAGTTATCAAGAAAAGACTAAACACAGGAATGATTGAGTGATCATGTGCTGTTCTATGTTAGTTGGGAATTTCCACTGAAGTGTTATTGCCAAACATTGTCTGGTAAGCAAGCATAAAGAACTTGGTTATCAGAACACAAGCTGATCCTCCATTACAAGACCAGGTAGAACAGCATTTTTGCCATGTTGAAAAGAACTGCATAGCAGCAATGGCTACTATATGTGCAGCACTAATGAAGTTGGATACACTAGAGCTAATGTCAGAATTAAAAATGAGTAATTTGGAAATGCTGGTTGAACTTTTGAAGCCTCTTTCACAACTTACTCATGAATTCAGCAGTGAATCTTATGTCACTATATTAAGTTTGTTACCTATACTGCATCAGTTAAAAACTCCTCTTGGATCAGCCAAAGATGACTCAGGAGTGATAGCATTGATTAAACAAGCAATGCTTGAGGTTCTTGGAAATATATACACATCAGCTTCCACTGTTAACATTCTGATAAAAGCATGCTCTCTGTATGTCAGACTTAAAAGATATGTCATCCTTGAATGAATATGAGGAAAGAAAAGTGTGTAACATGATAAAGAATGAAGTTATTTGATTTTTGACACCATGTACTCAGCTGTTCAGAGGAAATGAGCAAAGTCAGTCCATTGGGAAAGGGACACCTTTGCATAGTTTCAGTGTCCAGGAAGTTCAAAACTATCAACGAAGAAAAAGACCAGTGCTGGTTTAAAGCTGCCGAGTCTATTTACAAGAATAAAAACATGCCCACAGTAAAGAAAAATCCAGAATAATGATTGCTGAAAAGCTAGTGAATATGTATAAGACCACTCACTCTCTTCATCTATAAGGTGACCCATTGAGATTCTGGGCAGATAATGCTCATTTTTACCCACAACTTAGTAGACTTGCACTTAAGTATCTGGTCATTCCAGCAACCAGCACCCCTGCAGAAAGTCTGTTTAGTAGTGCATCTTATATTTTGAAAGCCAGATGAGTCATAATGGATTCAGAGAACATTGCCCCCCAGTGACACAGCAGTATGTCTTGTGGACTCATACCGCTAGAAACTGAGTTTTGATACCCATGGTGGGCAGAGCACAGACAGCCCTTTGTGTAGCTTTGTGCTTAATAATAAACATCCAACATCAGAGAATGTTAACCTTCTTTAGCAGCAATATTTAACGCTATTAACTGTTAACTTTTGTGAAAAATAGTCATTAGAACTTTAAACAGACTGATGTTAAGTTGTTATTTTTTAAGTGAGGATCTAAGCATTATGATATTTAAGTTACGTTTTTACTTCCTAATGTATAATTTGCATTATGTTTCTTAGTTTCTGTAATTTTAAATAAAATATAAATGTTATTTTCTACATTGTGTTATTTTGTGTACGAGTTATGTTTGTAACACCAGAAAAACTGTCATGACATGCTTATAAAAATAATACTTAATTGTCTGGAATAACAAGTTTGGAAATGCATACACACTACACAGTATTGTTGCAAAAGGTCACTGATAAGTGAACAAACATTTCATTACTTCTAAATTTTAAACAATGCAGTTGCCTTGCATGTACGAGACATTTTCATGTACAAAATTTAAGATTAAAAAAGTTAAGATTTTCCTTACCTGAAAATGTATTTCTGATAGATATTCACTTCATGTGCAAAATGCCTTCCATGCACAATAGCTCCCCTATGCACTTGCACTTGTGATAACTTCACTCTTTTATGAAGAAAGGAAAATAAAGGTGCACTAGAAATGGGGAGGATGGGTGGGAATGTGTGTGCTGGTGTCTATCAGAAATATACTTTTAGGTAAGAAACATGTCAACTTGTGAAGTGATAACTCACATAATCTCCACACACTTTA